TTATTCGAAATTTATCTGTAGTATTTTTGTTGGAAATTTATGAACTTATTTGTTCATTTCAACGAAAGTAATGAATAATTTTTTTAATACGGAGATTCTGAATAACCTCTGTATTAGAATCAAATAGCCGATTCATTTAATCTTAATAAAGAATTATTAAATGTTCACAATTTAAGGTGAAGGATGGGAGCAACAACGCTGATTAAATTGTCAAAACATGCGATGTTTCGTTGCATTATTTTAGGTTTCTCTAGATTGTTCAGAAATTTGTTCTGTTTGTCGTGCACAATGATTTAATTTCTAAGTGATAAAATTTTTATTTCAAACAAAACATTTGGTTTTATTAAACGAGATTATGCATTTGACATGAATAAACGCGAAAATTAGAATAATTTGTAGGAAAAGGACATTATGGGGCTACGTCGGTGAAATTTAAAAGTCTTCACAAGGCCTTGGGATCTATTGAAAAGGAAAATCGCGAACCCGATCGATTTTGCCCCGTATAACCACGAAAAACCTCATTTCTTCCTGTTTTTAACTTCCAAATGCTCCTCGCGCTGCAGTTTTCATACAATTTTAGCTATTTTTTCTTTAATGTTCGTTACACTCCTGAAGATAAAGTTAAGAATCCGTTCCACTCTATTCTCAATAGATCATGAATAAATGAATTTTGAATTTCACAAAATTTTTCTCATCTCTAGAGTAGAGTAAAATTTATGAAATTCAAAATTCATTTACTCAAATTTTTGTGCAAATTTTTATGAATTTTTCACTCACGAAGTTGTAGTGCAAAAACGAAAAATGGAAAAACGTCGGGGACTCCCTAATTATGCAACCACATAAGGGTTAATCTTCTCGTTATCTCCCACAGCATTCCGAAAAAAAAAATTAATTACTGAAGTTTCATTCACCCTTTCCATCCGCATACCGACCCACTCGATCCTTAACCGATGCATAACAAGACCACAAAGATTTGTATTCCCGTTGACAGGATGAATGAGCAGTGACATGAAATATAAATGCCCACACGGGTTATATATCGTTTTCATCGATCGTCACACACTTTATCCGTGCCCTTGTCCATCTCCACTAAAGCGCAAAAAAAGTCTCTAAAAAAAGCCCCTCACAACCGAGGGGTAAAAAAGAATCACACACAACCGACTTCTTTATTTATTTTTTTTTCACTTCAATGTTGTGTGTGGAAAAGACGACCGGAAAGAGAGAACCTCGGGGTGGGAGGGAGGACAGGCTGAGACGTTAATAATTCAACCAGCGAATTCGAGCGCACAAATCTCAGCCTGTCACGCTTCTCAGTTTTTACTTTTCCTTTTTCCCATCTCTTATAAAAAATATATAAAAAGCCAACAAAAATTCCCCTCAAAATGTCTCAAACAAGCCAAACTTCATTGCACCTAGCCTTCATATGACTTCACAATATCTTGTGAACAAACAGAGAATGAAGCAACGAAGAAAAATAGTCAATAGATTCGAAGAAAAATAAAAAAAAGGGGAAATTGCTTCCGAATGGTTATTTTGCACATCATTTATTTCTATCATGTATAGTTCACTGTTTATTTCATTTTATTCAAGTGACTAAGATTTCTTTTTAACTAATTTGGTCAAATTTTCAATTTAGTTGAATGGTACTATCATCATTATTCTTATTATCTCTTCCTTCTATACAACCTATTGTTTTTTTACGGTTCTATCTCTCCTCTCAGCCTTTCGATAAAATGTTAATAGAAAAATTTTATTTATACATGAATGAATTTGAAACATCAGAATTTAAGAAACCGTCAAAAAGCTCATTGTCAGGGAAATTCATGAAAAATTCGAAATTTTCAACAATCATCATAAAAATCAAATCAACTAATATAGATGTCGTAATCATCTTTTAACTTCGACTCAATGATATTGAAACAAACATTTTAAGATATGATTGAATTCATTTGAAGCATGATATTCAAAGATATCCCCGGAATTTTGATTTTTTTAAAATTCTAAATTTTAGCAAATTTTCAAATAAATCAGAATAACAATTATTGCTATCGCCTTTATCTTCGAATTTAATCAAAAGGATACCTAAACAAATTTTTTAAATCATCATTCAATCAATTCAGAACATTTTTTTTAATTATCGTGGGACAACCGATTTTCGAAAAAAATTCAAAAATTTAAAAAACTAATAGATGAATGGAATTTTAATTAATAGCGATGGATAGGGCTCAACAATACCTATAATTGAAAAAAAAAAGATTCAGTTTCATCCATTCACTTGCGAACAATTGAAGAAAAACAATGTGAAAATTTTTTTGAACTTTCATGGAAGATATTATGGTAGTTCTCATGAGTGACATTGACTCGGATTTAGGAGAAAAATGATTACACTGTTAGAACTGTTTTGAAAATCAAGCAATAGTTGTACTTGAATTTTCCATGTTGTGAATTTGAATTCAATTCAAGGTCAAATCGTTCATGGAATCCCTCACTCATGTTGGAAATTCAGGATACTTGGGTTTTCCATGTTAGATTATCGCTGATATTGAAATGACATCTAGGATTTTCAAATTCATTACGAAAATTAAACATCACATCCAACTGAATTTTCAGTGTATTGAAAATGCAGGGAACTCGTTGCTTCAATTTTCAAAATATTTAATAATTTTCATTATCACGTGGACCTGAAAATTGCAATGCCATTGATATGAATACTCCAGAATTCAACTGGTTTTTCGATAACAAAATATATCAAAATTTCTTGTAAATGCGTGATTGTCAAAAATTTCAATATTTTTTCTTTACTGAGAAAAAAATTTTCTAATATCGGAAACACATTTTCTTGAGACAAGTAAATTTTCTTCAATTGCTTAATTCTCTCAGGCATCTTAACTCACATGTCCCGAGAAAAGTCTCATGCTTTAAAATATTCTTGTACTCAAGTATGATTTTGTCGCAAATGAACTTACTTAAATCGCGTAGAAGAATCGTCAATCTTCTAGTCTTTATTGTTTTCATGATTTTTTCATTATGCACTTCCAATAATGCAATATTTATTTGAGTTCCGTGAAGTCCACACATTCTGAGATTTAAGCCATTGAAAATAATTTACTTCTCAAGAAAATATGTTTCAGATATTAAAATTTTTTTTTCTCAGTGTTTGAAATTTCAGGAGTAATTTTCTAACAGTGTACGAAATTTCAAATTTTATGTAGAATTAAAGGAAATTCCTGAGTTTTCAGTGGGAGTGAGATGGAAATTTCACAATTTGATTGAATTTTCAGTGGAATATGAATATTCAAAAACAAAATGACACGAAATTTCCCCTTTTCCTGATTTTTATGTCTTTTCACGGAATAATTAACCTGAAAAATCAAGTATTTCATTGATTTTCAGATCATCCAAACAGAAAGTCAACGGAATATTTGATTTTTAATGACAAGATTTCCTGAAATTTCAGTGGTCATTGAATACGACTAAAATTTCCGGGATTTAGCACGGAAAATTCACACACCTATGGCCGAGGTCTAAAAATTGCATTTTCAACCTTTTTGCATCCTACCGTCCATACTCCCCATACCAAAAAGCCCAAAACTCAAATTCAGACGATTCCAGCTCCCACTCTCCACCAAAAACAGAAGAACCAAAGAAAACCCAATTCAAATAATAAAAATCTTAAATACCCCACGAAGATGCACCGCAAAGTGTGTGTCCACCCCCGAAAAAACTATAAGGGTCAGACAGTGGTTGCGGGTAGCGGTCGTCCTCCCCCCCTCCAGACAGAGACACCAAAATCCCTCTCCCTCCTTGCCCCTATCAAGATGGCCGACATCAACCCCCGCGCAAGCGTTCTCCGAGCCCCGCCCACCCCCTCCCCTCCCCCTCCTCCGCGCAACCCTATCCCGAGTTTCCCATCTCTCTCCAACCCACCCCAGCCCTTCAGCCCTGACGTCTACCCCATCGTCTCTTCCTTCCTCTCTTTCCTATTATTCCCCATCTCTCCTGCCGCCTCCCCCCTCTCCCCCTCCGCCTACCTCATCCCTACCTCATCCCCTTTCATCCCCTCGACTCCTTCTCTCTCAGCACAGCTTTTCGGGCTTTCTCGACCAACCACGCTGTGGGCACGCGGAGGGGGGAGAAGAGGGATGATGGGGTGGGGGTGGGGGGTAGGTTTCACGTAGAAAACAGAGGGGGTATGTGATATTCGCTGGGAAACCTATATTCTCCGGGCATCGAGCATATCCTGTTGTCGTTGGTGTTTCACGCCGTGCACCACTCGAAATCTTTTGGTCTCTCTCTCTCTCTCTCTCTCTCTCGCATTTTGGAGGGCTTCAAAAAGCCCACGATCAAGCAGCCCCCCCCCCCCCCNCGATCAAGCAGCCCCCCCCCTCCCTCCACTGGTTCGGAGTTTACTCATCCCTCCTCTGGGCTGCAGAAGAGAATAGAGCAGAGGAGCACGGAACAGGGAATAGAGCAACGTGTCGTGGTAGCCGGTTGAAGAAGTCTCGCAGAACATGTCGCGCTGTCTCGTGCACCAGTACCCGAGTTGTTTGAGGGAATTGGTAAACACTGCGATTGTTTAAATTATTTTGAGTAATTTGGCAGCAGTTGTGAAGGTCGGGAGTTGTTGGATTTGGCCGGTTGACAGTGAGTTTTTCGATTTAGACGGTGATTTTGGGTTTTCGATTGTCTGGAGACAGTTTTAAGTGAGCAGTGATTAGTGATGATTATTGTTGATTAATTAGTGTGAGATGATCAATTTGTGATGGATAATACGGATGTAAACATGAACGATGAGAGTGGGTTTATGGGGGGTCTGGGGCTCGAGTCGTGGGCCCAAGAGTGACAGTTTTTGTGACATTTGGTTGTGGGGGATTAACTGATTGCGGTTGTGGTTTTTTTGGGGGATTTTTGGAGAGGATTTTCTCAGGCGGATGCAAGGGCATCCTGTCTGCATGCTTGCCGCTCCGGTGGGCAGCCTGGTGGCACACCAATCCACGGGGTACTGAACGCGCTGGTTGAGGGGATTTTTGGGCAAGTGTTTTTGAGTTTTACTGTGACAGAGACAAGATGATGTACTCACCTGATAAGATGATGGGGAGCAAGGGGCTCCATGGGGCGCCTATATCGGCACCTGGGTGCTTTCCATCTGGAAGATACTCACCGCCATCGTATCGCGCTGCGCCGGATCAAATGCCACCACCGCCACCGCCGAGAAGGTGCATGCCAAATCCACCGGTGAGTCCTTTTTTGGTTTGTTTTTTCCTTTGGGTTTGGGTTTGCGGAGGGGAGCGAGGAACATTTCGCGAGTTTGGGGGTGAGAGACGAACGTTGGTGGGGGGCTGCGGTCAGAGGTGCACGTATCGACATCTTTGATGGACAAATTTTACGTTTTCACGGGGAAACTGTGCACGGAGAGAACAGCTGGATAAAAATTACGTAGGAAATCGTGGCAAATTCTATTGTACACTGACAGAACGGTTTAATCGAACCAAACGAGAGTTTTTAACTATTACCACGATTCGTTAACTATTAACGAATCGCGGTAACAGTTAAGAAGCCTCGTTTGGTGCAACTGAATCGTTCCACCATTTATATCAGTGTAGGAAAGGTAATCGTGAAGCGAAATGCAATTCGGAAAGAAAATCCCTGTTTGTGGTACATATTATGCTCTTAGGACTTATATCGTGGTGGCACCAGTTTTCGAATGATAGTCAAGGTTTAATCAGTGCATAGCCGGGATTTAATCAGGGTTTATTCGGGTTTCAGCTAAAGTTTAACCCATGTTCTGGTAGAATTTAGTCGGGACCGTGAATCAATATGAATAAGTATTCAACATAATAGTTTAGTATCCGAGTTTAATGAAATTAGACACTGTTAAAAATTTTCGTTTGAATTTTCCGTGCCGAATTCCGGAAATTTTTATCGTGTTCAAGTTTCACTGAAATTTCAGGAAGTCTTGTCATTGAAAAATCAAATATTCCGTCCATTTTCTGTTCAAATGATCTGCAAATCAATAAAATACTTGATCTTTTAGTTCAATTATTCTGTGAAAATTCAGAAAAATCAGAAAAATTCTGGGAAAAATTGAAAGTTCATGCCGTTATGTTTCTGAATATTCATGTTCCACTAAAAATTCAATCAATTTGTGAAATTTTCATCTCACTTCTACTGAAAACTCATCAATTTCCGTGAATTCTACTTAAAACTTGAAATTTCATAACTTTTTCTTCCCTAAATTCGATTCAATGGCACTCTCAAGAGATTTACCATAATATCTTCCATGAAATTTCAAAATATTCCGAACAGTGTAAAACATTTGTTTATGTTTGAAAATCCATTCACATGATGTTAATAAAAACACCATTACAAATCATGTTTAAGTTTGAATAGAAGATTTAGTACGAACGCTTTTATGTTTAATTAAATAAAGTTCATTTAATTTAAATAAAATATTAATTTGGGTGTAGAATAGCTGATTTTGACCGAAATTATGGAATGGAAACCAGAGAAAATAGAAAACATTGTATTCCAGACTGTCAATACTTCTTTCCTTACATTCGAATCATTACATTTCTCTTCTTCAATCGCTTTCATCAATCCTGACGTTTTCGCCATGTCAAAAGGTCAATTTCACTGTATTCTCTCCAACAGTCACCCTAGAAATCGAGAATATCAGGAATTAAGGACGAGTTATTCCTGTCCATTGAACCCATCGGTGACAATGAGACACTGCTATCAATAATGCAGGAAAAGTCCTACGACGGGTTGGAAACTAATTTTCAAATTGTCATGCCGGGGATTTTATTTCCGTGAAAAATGCAGAGGGACTGCATGGGTGGAGCAAATATAAAAATGAGTAATGGGGTTTTGTTGAGTCAATTGACATTGATTCCTGCGTCATAACCCCAGGTATTTCAGGAAGATAGGAATAAAAATGGGACAGTTTTTTTTATTTTAAGCATTCAAACCGTGTGGATTTTTTTTATCGTTATTTTACATCGCTTCGACCCGGTTAGAGTATACTGCGATGATGATCAAGACTTTAAGTGGTTGGATCGCACCATTCTACTCAGCCGGGATTTGAACTCGGAACCTTTCGCATGTGAGGCAACGAACGTAACCACTGCGCCAAGCCAGCGGGCTACCGTGTGGATTATTCTGTTAAAAAAATACACAAATACGCATGTGTTTACAAAATTATTTCTCAAGTTCTTATGGGCAACAATTTACATGATTTTCGTAAATGTTTAATTCAGTGGAGCTCAAGCAGGAATCGATGTGTTGAAGAACTTCTATATTATCTTCGGGCTATTATTCGGTCAACCTTAGAGGTTTTTTCACTTTGCAAACAATGCTCATCAAGCCCTGAACCAAGGCTCGAAAATTCTCAATCAGGGGTGGAGCTCAAGCTTTAATCAGCCCTCAGAAAAATAAACATTGAGTAATTAAGTGACTAAAGTAATTCCACAAAATCTGAAATTCTGTCAGATTATAGATCTTAATGAGGACTAACTCTGTGCAAGATTTCAGCTGGCTCGAACTAATAGTTTTTGAGGAAAAGCTATTCGCTTTTAAATCGTTTTCCGCAAATATCTTCAAAACTAGTGAACCGATTTCGATTTTTTTTATTTTAAAGTATTCGTTTCGATGTCTTCTATCTAAATTAATCAAAACATACATATCCGATCACACAAAGGTTCTGAGTTATTCCCGTCTTTAGGTTTTTTCATAAAAAATATTGTAATCACCGTAGCTTGTGCAAGAATCGAGATATCAACTTGAAATTTGGACAGAAAATCTGTATTCCCGTTCAAGATATCACTCAGTGACACACTGTTAGAAAATTACCCCTGAAATTTCAAGTAAAAAATCTTGAAATTTCTACCAATCACTCATTCACATGAAATTTTGATGTATTTTGTTATTGAAAAATCAGTTCAATTCTGGCGTATTGTAATAGAATTTCAATTTTGAGGTCCACGTGATAATGAAAATTATTAAATGAGTTGAAAATTTAAGCAACAATTTCACTCAGGGAAGTTTTTCAGTGAATTTTCAATCCACTAAAAATTCAGTTGGATGTGATGTTTAATTTCCGCAGTGAATTTGAAAATTCTAGATTTCACCGACATTTTAGTGGTAGTCTAGCCTAGACAACTCAATTCTCCTGAATTTCCAATCTGAATGAGAGATTCCATCAGCGATTTGATCTTAAATCGGATTCAAATCCACATTATTGAAAATGAAATTGCAACACTGTTAGAAATTTATTGAAATTTCAGTCACAATGTTATCTGAATTTTCAATATTGTGAGTTTGAATTCAATTTCAAATGCATACGTTCACTAAATTTCTCATTCATCTTGAAAATTGAAGAAAATTGAGTTTTTCATGTTAAAGAATTATTGATTTTTCAATGAAAGCTTGGATTTCCAAACTCATCGTGAAAATTGCACATCACATATAATTCAATTTTCAATATATTGAAAAATCAGAGATGTTATTGCCTGACTTTTCAAAATTTTTAAGATTTTTCAGTGCCGTAGGGACCTGAAAATCGAGAATTACTTCAATATTCAAAAAATTAACTGATTTGTCAATAAAGAATTCTACAGAAATTTCATGTAACTTTGTCGTTGTTAAAAATTTCAAGCTTTTTCACTTGAAATTTCCAGATTAATTTTCTAACAGTCAATTATTACTCAATTAAAAACAAAATTCCAACAGTACACGTCCACTGTCATATGGCGCGCTGTCATATGCTCGCAGCTGTTTTTTTTTTCAGTCAAATTCAATTTTTTCTTCTAATTGATCAAGCATCGTATTATCTCATGTTTTCAACGACACGATTTTTTTTCTCCCAATGAATGAATAAAAAATGTGGAGTGGCAAATTTTTTGTTTATGCGAAGGAAAGCGGAAGGGATGAGCGTTCGCAGAGTAATACGTCACCCTCCGCCCCCCACCACGTCACATCATCCCCCTCTTCTTCTGAGACCGGTGTGTTTGTGGCATCCACCAGTGTGTTTAGTTTATTCATGCGACGTAATAGGATAAAAACCGTCGGTACCCGTTGAGAGTCCCCAGATGAGATTACAGGGAGGTACTGTGTGCCGTCACCCGATAACAATCACACGTCTCACTTGATCGATTCTACTTTATTTCACTTTTTCATTTATTCATCTTATTTTCACAGCAGTTGAGAGCGAAAGTTTTAAATCTGTGATGAGAGATTGACAAGTAAAAAAGAATGTTCGATATTCGAATACTATTTTACCATTTTTTTTTTCACATTTCCCAATTATGATAAAGAGAAGATAGTCTCCAATTATTGTAATTTTCCATTTTTCTACGATTTATGGATAATTTAAATTAGAAGAATGAGATTGAATTCAATTCGGCGGGGGACAAACCATGGGATTTTTATTAATTTTGATTTTTATTTATTTATTGAAACACGAATCCAACACTCATAGCCCATAACAGGATTCAAAACATACAGAGATATACACTGAGAGAAAAACCTGAAGTTCGATTTACAATAAGAAAATGGTTGAGGCAGTTTTGGTGAACGATACGATTTTTTTTTGTATACGGCACATAACATTGTAGTAACTTCACAAGCGTAATTTTTGCAAATCAAAATGCAGTTAAACTAACCAAAGTTCAAAAGTAACCACGACAAATCTATCGTGAGGAGAACTATAAAATAGTTGCAATGACTACATTCCACTGTAGTAATTACTTCTCCGGCCATAGTTACCGTAACCCATGAAAAATTGTTGAGGACTTTTTGACTATAATTCGATGGTGATGGAATATAGTCAGAAGAATTATATTTTTATCTCAGTGTACGACGCCTCTACTGTATTTGAAAGTAAGAATACAAATTTTTATGGATTTTTTATTCACCAAGTTTTTGTGTGAAAAAAAAAATTGAAAACGACGGGGATTCCCTCATGATGCGATCACTTAAGGGTTAAATCGATACAGAATTGGTCTCGTTAACATTGTTAATTATATTGAGAATTCAACAAACATTATTCTTAAAGAATTTCTTCAGCTACTAAAGAAATTCTCATAGTATCCTCGTGTTTCCTCCTAGAATTGCTCATGAAATATATATTTGACTTGAATTGTTTCACCAAACTATTGATTCATTAGTCTACAAAAAGAGGATTAGCTCATCGAAGATAGTTTACCCTTTCGTCTGTGCATATTACCAGAGAGATGTCC